CACGCCATTCCGGAAAGGGGATAACGATTATACGCGACCAAAACGTTCCTGGCTTCCGTGCTGCCGGCACGCGAACCAATGACAGAACTTTTGAATCACTATCGTCGAATGAAGTTTGAAGACACCGTCGCTGGAATGTCGCTATCGACTGCCGACAAATTGATTAAGCATTTCCTTGCGAATTTGATAACAATTTTTATCTCATTCTCGTGATGTTCATTTCCCGGTAATGGTTATATATTTTTACCATTTTCTTTCGCGATTCGACGATTGTTGTAACGCAATTTTAATAGTTAAATAAAATTGCTTCTGTTTCCAATTTGAAAGTTCCTCTTGATATTTTTTTGGACATATTTATTTTATGTTTTATTCGATGGTGTTTAGAATTTAATTTTTCGTTATTTTGATTGATTGATTTTGGTAAGGACAAATTGTTTTTGACGCTTAATTAAATTGACTCGGAAATGTCATATATGACGTATTTTGTGATGATTTTAATTTTGATTATATTTGATGTATTTTATATTGATTTTTATTTTGATTAAATATCACGTATGTTATATTGATTTTTACTTTGATTATATATGACGTATTTTATATTGATTTTAATTTTGATTATATATGATGTATTTTATATTGATTTTTATTTTGATTAAATATCACGTATTTTATATTGATTTTAATTTTGATTTTATATAATGTATTTTATGTTGATTTAAATTTTGATTATATATTATACGTGTTTTATATTGAGTTTATATGTACAAGTAGCACCGTACCATTTTTACATGTCTGTTAAAAAAGTTTTCATATTAACACCATCATTATAGTCATACGTGAACATGGCTGCAAGTTCAGTTAAATTAATTATTTACAAAAAAAACAGACATTGAAGGACTCTTTTGTTGAGACAATGATACACATTAACATATGAAAAGATTGAATACCTTCATTCTTTATAATCTGTATCACAGTGTGTCTGACCAAAAACGTCACTTTCCACTGTGGCCACCAAATAACCTTCTCAATAACCAATTCTAATAAATCTATTTTCAAATGCATTATTTTTATGTGTCTCTTAAAGTAGATTTTGTATATAGATTTGTAAAGTGACATTTTGTATAAAGATTTGTAAAGTCACATTTTGTATAAAGATTTGTAAAGTCACATTTTGTATATAGATTTATAAAGTGACATTTTGTATAAATATTTGTAACGAGACATTTTGTATATAGATTTTATAGCGTTTATTATTAAGTATTCTTCTCTAATTAATATCTACAGTAATTCAACTTCAAATAAAGTTAAAAACGGAGTAAAAAGTACAGATTGATCGTTAACATGTAAATTATAGATTTTATCGAAAAATTGAATGGCACGATGATTCACATGATTACTCGACAGTTCACATTGGTTAAGTGGTACGAAATTATACCGATTCGAGAGATTTGAATTGAAGCAGCTGAATTAATCTGAACAGGGCTGAACGTGCAACGAGCCAGGGTGAAACTACGTGAACCCATTTCCATGAGGGCAGAAAATCGCGTTTTGCGTATCGCTTGATAGCTCGGGATACAACGCCACGTACGTGGCGCCTCCGTTGAATAATAGAAACGGGGATTAAATCGTTCGAGCTTTGATGCTACAATCGCTGAAATCAACCGCGAGATATCTTTCATAGCAACGTCCTTTTCCTGATCCACGCTTTTGATCGCCGTGTCCGAATATTATTAGTTTATTCCGCCCGGTAAACTGTCTTTGATACACAGATTTCGCGTCGTCTTTTGATGTATCGTGCGCGTAGTCGATCTTGCGTAACACGGTTTTATCGAAGAGCAACATCGATGTGTACCGATGGGATCCGAGTTCAAGCTCTTGTTATATTGCCATGCAGTGCATGGTGAAGTGTTAGTTGCGTGTTAGATTGTCATGCGATAGATTTTCGTGTGTTAGATTGTAACGCGTTGTTTAATCGTATGTTATATTGCCACGCATTATATTGCCACGCACTATATTGCCACGCATTATATTGCCACGTGGTAGATAATCACGCGTTAGATTACTGTGCGTTGCATTCCCATGTATTGCATTGTCACGAGTTATATTTCCATGCGTTGTAACATCACGCGTTATATCGCCGCGCGTTATATCACCACACGTTATATCACAACGCGTTATATTGCCGCATGTTGTATCACCACGCGTTGAATTAGTATGCTTTGCATTTTCACGCATTGCACTTCTATGCGTTATATCACCATGCGTTATATCGCCACGCATTCTATCACCATGCATTAGATTTCCACTCCTCAGATTACTACGTGTTGTATTTCCACGCGTTGCTTTGCCACGCGTTGTACTTCCACGTTTCAAAACTCCACGCATTGTATCGCCACGCATTATATCGCCATTCATTATATCACCACGCGTTGAATCACTAAGCGTTAAATTGCCATGCATTAGATTACTGTTCGTTAAAGTTCCATGAGTTGGATTGCCACGCATTGCACTTCCTCGCATTATATCGCCACGTGTTATATCGCCGTGTGTTGAATTACTATGTATTAGATAGCCATGTTGTAAATTACTGTGCATTGTATTTCTCTGCGTTGTATTTCCACGCGTTACATTTTCTCGCGTTATATCGCCACGCGTTATATTACCACCTATTGTATCACCCTGCGTTAGATTGCCACGTGTTAAATTACTGTGCGTTGTATTTGCATGCGTCTTAATACCACATATTGCACTTCTTCATATTAAATCACTACGTGTTGTACTGCCTCTCGTTATATCGCCGCGTGTTGCATCACCACGCACTATACAACAATGCGTTGCATTTCTACACACTGAATTACCACGCTTTCTGTCATCATGCATTATAATGCATTATAATGCATTGACGTATGTCGAATTGTCACGCGTTGAATCGCCGCGTGACAGTGGCAATATAACAAGAGTTTAATGTATACCTGGATAGAATTAATTGTATCTGCCTTATTGTTTGTTACACAAAGAAAATTCTAACAGTAAATTTGCCATTCAATGTTAAATACTTTATTCTGAAAATATCTCAATATTTGACGTTAGAGCATAGATAATTTTGTCTGTTTACCAGGAAATCGTTTATGAAGATGTAAATACTGGTCATCAAGCACACGTGTTTTACTCTCGACAGAATATTTTCAAACATATGCACTAAAATAATACGGTCGACACGAGAAACATCCGGATAATAAATTTTACGAATTCAGCTAAAAGAGACAATGCCTGTATATTCTAAAAACGTTCGGTTTATAATCTTCTTCTGTTCTCTCCCATATTGTACTTCGTATCGAATGTATTTGTATAATTGTCGTTTCGCGTCGAACAAATTATTCTGGTAAACATTTCATCAAAAAACAAGAACGAAAGCAACCCGCAAACGTTATACAGTTCTCCGAATAACAAAAAGTCCTTTTCATTTAAATGTCACATTTTATCTGATATTATCGGCGGCCAGAAAGGAGCTTAAAAATATTTATAACAAAACTGCACTTCGGCCGACGTTGACTATCAACGATTCCATGAAATCCCTCGTCACTTTCCCATCACCCTGGCTGCCGCATTAAAAATCGAACGCCACATCGACGGATCATCGACGCGTAAATATTTCAACGAGTTTAAAAGTAAGTTCACTGCCAAACGTTCCCGGAATATTTGATAGAAAGAATCGATACGGGGTGTCTGAAAACACGTACGGTAACGACACGTTCGATCATTTTGATTATTTTCTGCGCTGTATCGGATCGTAGCTGGAAATTCAGAGATGCAGTAATTTCGGTTCGCATATAGGGATTTTAAGATCAGTTTATTTATTTCTTGGAGATTTAGGGATATATGGAGGGCTTTGGGAAGGTAGGAATTTTGAAGGGGAGCGATTTCAGAATCGAGGGATTTTTTGATCTAGGGTTTTTGAATTTTTGAATTTTTAGGACCTAGAAATTTTTAGGATTTAGAGATTTAGGGATTTTTGGGATCTAGGAATTTTTTGGATTTAGGGATTTTGTAATGTGGCAATTTTTGTGATCTAGGGATTTTTGAACTTTGGAGATTTTAGGATCTTGGGATCTAGGGATTTTGGGATTCAGGAATTTTGGGATCGAGGGATTTTGGGATCTATCGATTTTGGGATTTGGAATTTTGGGATCTTGGGATTTCGGGATTTCGGGATTTCGGGATTTCGGGATTTCGGGATTTCGGGATTTCGGGATTTAGGGATTTAGGGATTTAGGGATTTCGGGATCTAAGGATTTCGGGATCTAGGGATTTCGGGATTTGGGGATTTAGCGATTTGGGGATTTCGGAATTTAGGAATTTTTGGATCTAGGGATTTTTGGATCAAGAGATTTCGCGATCTAGGGATTTTAGGATCTTGTAATCTTGAAATTTTGGAATTTTGGAATTTTGAAATTTTGGAATTTTGGGATTTCGAGATCTAAGAATTTTGGGATTTAAATATTCCAAGAAATATAGGTTCCAAAAAACACTGATTTCAGTACACAGAGATCTTGAAATCCAGAAACTTGAAGGTTGAAGAATTTAGGAACATAATCTATAAACATCTATTTAATAAAATAGAACTTCAATACACAGTCCTGGAGATCTAATGTCACAACATCCAAATGATACGAAAATCTAGTAACCAAACACATAGACCTAGAAATTCAAGGACATATATCCCTACTGATCATCCACAATTTTCTCATAACCCAAGTTATTCATTCAAAGAAGTAAACCTAACAAAATATATAATATTATCGATAAATCTAAAAGTGATTGATCAGTGTGTGTAAGAAGCTAAAAAGTGTCTAAAAATCTCCTTAAAGTAACGAGCAAAAATTTGGCGGAAAATTGATGCATGTAAATAAGGAGAGTTAAGAAGATATATTTAGTGATCGCAGATGCCCGAGCATCTGCGGATAAGAAGGCATCGGTAGATCAGCGGTTTTTCTTGAGCGATGATCGGCTCGTCGACGCCGAGGATCGATCGCACGGATCCTTACGAGGCCGTCGTCGACACCTGTTACGAGGAGCTTTTGTTGTTCGCCGCTGTGAACGATACGAGTGCAGGCTGTGACAGGGTGCGCTTCACCCTGTCTGGAATATTAAACGACACCGACTACGAGGGCAAGGCGGTGAACGAGACTCGATTGGACATCGAGAACAACGGTTTAAACAACTGGTGGGCCATGTTGGCCCTTGTTCTGGTCGTGGGCACCGCGGCTGGGAACATTCTGGTGTGTCTCGCCATCGCCAGGGAGAGACGACTGCAAAATGTCACCAATTATTTTTTGATGAGCCTGGCGATCACCGATCTCATGGTTGCTGTTCTGGTCATGCCTCTTGGAATATTGACTCTTGTTAGAGGTGAGTTGTGGATTTTATAGAGAAATGCGGTTTCAAGATTTCAAGTATTTTTTTTTGGGTGATTTATGGCGATGAAAGTGGGACATTAGTTTTACTTTATAGTAGCTTTTTATGTGATCTCATGGTTGATGTTTTGGATATGTTTCTTGGAATGTTAACACTAGTCAGAGATGAGATCCTGCGATTTTAGTGATTTATGGGGACTAAATGCGATTTATGTATTGTTTACTTTCTGGTGGAAAGGGATATCAAGGTTTTAATATTCGAATAGTAACACGAATACTAGTATCAATCAGCGGTACCATTATTGGTATTTGATTACTGGTATTAATACTGTATCAATGTGAATACTGCTGATAGAATCAATGATGCTACTAGAATCAATAAATGCTGGTTGCGATAGCACCGAATGTAAGCCAATGCTAGTAGTTATATTGATATCAGTATTCACATGAGTACAACTTGTGGTATTAATACTAATATCAGAATCAGTACCACCACCATCCAGTACAAGTTAATACCAATACCAGTACCACTATAAAAACTGGAATCAATACTAATATCAGAATCAGTACCACCACCATCCAGTACCAGTTAATACCAATACCAGTACCACTATAAAAACTAGAATCAATACTAATACCATCATCACTACCAGTACCAGCACTGGTACTAATAACAGTACCAATACCAGTACCAATACCAGTACCAATACCAGTACCAATACCAGTACCAATACCAGTACCAATACCAGTACCAATACCAGTACCAATACCAGTACCAATACCAGTACCAATACCAGTACCAATACCAGTACCAATACCAGTACCAATACCAGTACCAATACCAGTACCAATACCAGTACCAATACCAGTACCAATACCAGTACCAATACCAGTACCAATACCAGTACCAATACCAGTACCAATACCAGTACCAATACCAGTACCAATACCAGTACCAATACCAGTACCAATACCAGTACCAATACCAGTACCAATACCAGTACCAATACCAGTACCAATACCAGTACCAATACCAGTACCAATACCAGTACCAATACCAGTACCAATACCAGTACCAATACCAGTACCAATACCAGTACCAATACCAGTACCAATACCAGTACCAATACCAGTACCAATACCAGTACCAATACCAGTACCAATACCAGTACCAATACCAGTACCAATACCAGTACCAATACCAGTACCAATACCAGTACCAATACCAGTACCAATACCAGTACCAATACCAGTACCAATACCAGTACCAATACCAGTACCAATACCAGTACCAATACCAGTACCAATACCAGTACCAATACCAGTACCAATACCAGTACAAATGCCAGTACAAATGCCAGTACCAATACCAGTATCAATTGAAATACCAATACCAGTATTAACACCAGTATCAGTACCAATACCAATACCAGTTCCACTCATATCAATATCTGTATTAATACCAGTAGCGATACTAATGAAACCTAGTAATATTAGTACCAATACACATACCAGTACCACTATTAATATTAGCAGTAGCACCACTACCAATACTACTATCAATACCACTATCAATCACTACCAATATCACCGTCAATATCACTATCACTTCCAACACCAATAATCACACTATTAACAGTACAACTACCAATTACCATCACCACCCTTTCCACTACCAATACGAATACCAGTATCAAATATACTACCGCTACCAATATTGATGCTAATACCAATACCAATTCTAGTACCTCTATTCCCACTAATCACTGCCAATAAAAAAAAATGTTAAAATGCCCTGAACACTGAAACTAGAGTTCCTAATGCAGTTACCACATGTGCCATATGGATCACACGTGTCATTAACTTCTTCATCGATGACTCAATTAACGAATCAATTAATTCATATTTCATCTGTCCAAATTTAATTTCCCCAGTCGGAATTTCTATACGTCCATATTTACATACTAACATATTCCCTTTGTTACGTCTAACACATATATTTATTGCCACATGTTCTCCCCCCTAAAAGTAAGATATACTTCACAACGCAATTAGTATACCACAGATCCTTCGGAAACATTAACGTGTCCCCAGTTAATGTGCCTGTCCATAAATAATAGACATCCTTTACATCAGAACCAGTAGTTTAATTACGTATCGAATGTTCAGTTTGATTCGATGTCCAATAATCAATTAGAACGAACATATTCCAGCATGGTCAACTTCGTTTCCGAAGGGCATTTTCCCATTCTTCCAGTAATTACAATCGTTATTCGACAACCTGACATTTTTCAATTACCGTTTCTGCCATATTTCAATTTACCTAGAAAACAAACGATGCCGAATTCGTAATTTCGATTTCAATCCTTCATTCGCTTAATAAAATCCTACGAATTAGGTTGTTAATTTTCATCTTCATGACAAATTGTGGACTACGCAGAAAATTTTGTATGATTTATTTTTATAACAGTATTGAACTCTAAATCAATTTAACTGAAAATCGTATGTCACATGATTTACAATTTTTATCACATTTTGAGATGCGAATTTGACGTGTTATATGGGATCAGATTTTCGACGTAATATGTTGATATAAAATAAGCGAGATTTAATTATGTATCACAGCACGCCATTGGCAGCAACCCAAGAGTGTCTATTCTGAGATTAAATGCTCTCCAATTTAAATCACCTTCGACTTTTTCCTCGAATTTGGAAATTGGAAAATTTACCAATTTGGAATTCGTGGAAATTTACAAACTTGGTATTTGAGCATGTAGAAATTTGCGATGTACTGTATAATAAAAATATCATGTCATATGTGTTTTGAACTCAGTTTCCCTTGATTTCCTTTCTTAACGAGATTCGAGCCGAAGGAGTCGAAAATATTTGGTCTTGAGACGCAAACTCTAAGCATCAATTTCGAAACTATTTGCGGAGAATTTGATCGAGGAAGATAGTGTGAGTCGCGCAATTCGATCCAGCCATTTCTCGTAGGTGGTTTTCTTTCGCGATCCACGTTCAGCAAATTCTTTCGCACGTAAAGTGTCTCAGAAAAAAGATACACCCTGGAAATTACACATTCTTCAAGTTCTTCGTCATTTTAGAACGTGGAAGTTCTTCATGTAACGACTGAAAATTGAGCAAGGTGAATTTGATGCGATGGGTATTTGTAGGAATTATTGAAAATTTAGAGGATATCAAATTTTTCCTAAGTTTTTAAATTTCTGAATTTCTTAGTTTTAAAATTCTGAAATTTTAAATTTTTAGATTTCTGAATTTTCAAGTTCAAAAATTCCCAAATAATGAATTTTCAAATTTCTAAAGATCTTTGGAACGTCCCTTTCTGCATCCCTAAATTTTAATTTTTTTAATTTCTGTAATTGCAAATTCGGAAGATCCCAAATGTCTACACCCCCAAATTCTAAACTTTTAAAATTCTATAATACCGAATTCGGTTCGTCCCAAATTTCTACACCCCCAAATTCCAAATTTCTAAAATTCTATAATACCGAATTCGGTTCGTCCCAAATTTCTACATCTTTGAATATCTAAAAACACTAATTTTCCTATTTCCCCAATTTCCAAATTTCCGAATACTAAAATTCCAAATTCGACACGTCCCAAATTCTTATAATTCCAAATTTGAAACGTCCCAAATTTCTACACCCCCAAATTCTGAACATCCCAAATTTCTAAAATTCCAAATTTGAAACGTCCCAAATTTCTAGAATTCTAAATATTAGAACCGTCGATCGTAATAAACAATAGAATTTTTGCCAAGTCAGATACGAGCGACATTTCATGTTTGTAGGTTAGGTCCCCTCCAATATCCTCCGATATCCGACATAATAATTAAGATTCCTCAATCACATTACAATTCCTCCCAGCATAAATACTCGAACCATTTTGCAGTAAAGTGAAATGAAATTATGAAGGAAAGTTTTACAAGCAATAAAAGTTACGAAGGAGATGTGTTACAGGATTGCCCAAGGATTTAGCTCAAGGTGACAGAAAATAGACTGCAGAGGGACAGTTCAATTAACTTTTTTCTGGTGAATTCTGCGTTTTTACGGATGGCTTGAAGTTCAGCTTTTTTTACCTCGAGTTACTTCTGATTGGTGACTCTACTTTTTCCCTCCTTGACTTTCGCTGGAACGTCTGCAAGAAGAGGCAATGAAGTGATAATCGATTAACACTCGAGCTCATCCATGATTGCCACCTTTATGAAACTTTAGACACCTTTTTTCGTCGGATTGTAATAACAAAAAATATAGCAACGAATCGATAAAATTCGCTATGGAGAAATATAGGGATTTACGAAGGTAGGGATGAAGGATGGAGAGGTTTAAGGATTTAAAGATTTAGAGTTTTCAAGTTTTAAGTCTAAGTATTTGGAGTTTAGAAATCTTGGAGAAACTGCGATATACAGAAAGTTATTAATATAATACAGTATTATACAGTTATTAATATAATGTAAGATTGTAACATAACCTAAAACCTTAATATAAACCAACATAACCTAACACTCTCTAAAAATCGAATGACAACTATTCAAAATAAATATGTATGCAATACGTAAATAGATATGTATGCAAATAAATATGTAAATAAATATTTGATATCTTTTCCAAAATTTTTGGAAGAAAGTTTAATGGTACGAGTTCGAAACAGTTGCAATTACTCCCACGCAACTATTTCAATTACACCTAACCACTTGGACCAATTTCACCCCCGAGGTTGTTTCAATTTCGATGTTCCACCTCGACGCGATGGTAACGCGAAAAGAAAACATTAATTGTTGGCAAAGGGATCGATCCTCACGAAGAGGGGAGAAGCACTTTTGCCGCGAAGAAGGCGGAAACAGCAAGAAATCCGAGACGAATGGCACTTCCGTCGACTTCGCGGAAACTGACGAGATGCTCGTAGACACTCCGAAGAGTAATACCAGCGAAATTGTCGACGACTTAAGTGGCCAATTTGCAGCGTCCTCCATCT